ATAGAAAAGTAGAATATATAACAGAAGTGTAATTAATAAACACTAATAAATCTGAGAGCTGGACCCTGAACAGACGTACAGAACTTCAGTATAATTACAGTATTAACAACAGAGTGCTGCACATTTCAGGGTTGGCAGTTTAATTATAATAACTAAACTTATCACAGAGAATTAAATGATCTTGTCTCTCAACAGGAGTTCAGGGCGACGCTGTCCATGCTGCTGAAACCCGGCGAGAAGACGTACACGCAGCGCTGCCGCCTGTTCATCGGTAACCTGCCCAACGACATCACAGAGGAGGATTTCAAGAAGCTGTTCGCAAAGTACGGAGAGCCCAGCGAGGTCTTCATCAACAAAAGCAAAGGCTTTGGTTTCATCCGACTGGTAAGAGATTCCAGTCATCCAGTTACTGTGAAACACGTTAATTTGGGTTTAAAACATCCCATAATAATAATAATAATAACGTCACCTATGTTTGTTTTTGCAGGAGTCGCGTGCACTTGCAGAAATAGCAAAAGCAGAGCTGGATGACACACCGATGAAAGGCAGACCGCTACGTGTCCGATTCGCCACGCACTCTGCGGCTCTGTCTATAAAGAATCTGTCTCCGTTTGTGTCCAACGAGCTCCTGGAAGAAGCCTTCTCGCAGTTCGGGATGGTTGAGAGGGCCATCGTCATCGTAGATGACCGCGGGCGCTCCACAGGCAGAGGCATCGTCGAGTTTGCGTCCAAACCTGCTGCCAGAAAGGCTCTGGATCGCTGCAACGAGGGCGTCTTCCTTCTCACCACGTAAGTGCAGCTAAATCGAACAAAATCCACTTTTTTTTTATTGTGTTCGGTTGAATAATACACCTCCGTGAAAAGATGAATGAAACCCTTCCTTATTCCTCTTCTCCCACTCTTTGTTTCTCCCCTTCAGGTCACCCCGACCGGTTGTTGTCGAGCCTCTGGAGCAGTTTGATGATGAAGACGGTCTTCCAGAGAAACTGGCACAGAAGAATCCCAGATATCAAGCGTAAGCAAATCACTGCTCACACATATTTATCGAGTTTGAGTCTCCGATGCAATCATCTTTATTATGGTAATTATATTTGAAGTCATTGTTGTGAGAGCAGCAGATGGTCTGTGGGGTGGGGGTGGGGACGGTTCAGGGATTACAGCTGTTAAAAATCAATCCTCTGTGTGGAGGAGCAGATTGATCCGTGTAAATCAGAGGAAGGATCATTTAGCATTAATTCAATCAATGATTTCAAATGTTATTGTGAAGAGTTTTTAACTTCCAGGCAGAACTTTAAATGTTCACAGTGCTGCAGACGCAATCATTTGAACCTAACGCGTTTGTCGTGTCGTGTCTACAGAGAGCGAGAGGAGCCTCCCCGTTTTGCTCGCCCAGGCACTTTCGAATTCGAGTACTCCAAACGCTGGAAATCCCTGGATGAGATGGAGAAGCAGCAGAGGCAGCAGGTGGAGAAGAACATGCGCGAGGCCCGCGAGAAGCTGGAGAGCGAGATGGAGGACGCGTACCACGAGCACCAGGCCAACCTGCTCAGACAAGGCGAGTGCAGTGGTGTTGTTGTCGGGTTTAATAAGAGCCAAAAGGCCTGCTACATTTTCTGCTACTGATCTCTAGAAAATATAAAAGTGCCGCAGTTTAATGTGTCGGTTTCGTGTTTCCTCGTAGATCTTCTGAGGCGGCAGGAGGAACTGCGGCGCATGGAGGAGTTGCACAGTCAGGAAATGCAAAAGAGGAAGGAGATGCAGATCAGGTATTTACGTTCTCCGTTGTTGATTGTGGCCCCCAAAGCTCGTTGTTAGTTATTCCGGTTACTCTGTGAATCGGTTCAGCCCTAATCTTGTTAAACTTGGATCACATTTGATTAAGATTTGTTCCTCTCGGTAAACAGACAAGAAGAAGAGCGTCGCAGGCGGGAGGAGGAAATGCTTCGCAAGAGGGAGATGGAAGAACAGATGCGCCGCCAGCGGGAGGAGAACTACAGGATGGGCAACTTCATGGATGTAAGTGGACTAAACACACATATAATACATATAAACAATGTAAAGATTGAACCAAATGTTTCCGGTTTAATGATTATTTGTGTTTTTTACAGAGGGACAGAGAAATGAGAATGAACCCCGGTGGAGCTCTGAACATGGGTGGTAAGTTATTTATAAGTAATTTCAATGAGGAAAGAAACTCAGCCCCCTTTTTATATCCGTTACATCATAGTCAATAACTATAATCTTCACTTTAATTCAACAGCAGCACAAACTACAGGCTGCAGTATGACCTTAATGTTGAAACAAAACCTTTCTAAGATACTTAAAGATTAAAAACTGAATTATAAGTGTGTCTACGTCTTAACACGTCACTTTGGTAGTTTTTCTTCTTACAAGTTTATGAGATTCCCTTTTAAGAAGCCACAGTATCGAATGTGCACTAATTATTTGTAGTCTTACGACACAAAATAGGCTTCGTCCTCAACATGCCACGCAGCAGTTTGTATGGCTCGTGTACATCAGTCGTAGTTTGACCGGCTGCTATGTTGATCGTGATAGACTTGCCCTTTGGTGCAGCAAACCAGAAGTTCCCCATGGGCGGACTGGGCTTTGAGGGACAGCCGGGAATGGGACCGTCCGCCGGAGGCTTGATGGGCAACGAAATGGTAACGTATCCCACTTTATGGCAGTCAGTAGTTAACGTAGTTTGTGATCGGCTTTCCTTTCTGTTGGAAAGACTCCCAGCTGATGTTTTAATCACGGAGGCCAGCTGGCCCAAAGCGAGACGTGGAGAACATGTCTGATTTGTGTTCGCAGCGGTCTCTGGATGATGCTGGTTGTTGAATGTGACCGATAACGCTGCCTGCCTGAGCCGAGCCCCCTCAGTTAGCTGCAGCCTTTCTGCTCTCCAGCTGCCGAAAACCGTCAACCTGCACTAAAACACGAGACGTTGCTCTCCGACAGCCGTAGACAGACTTCAGTGGCTCTGCTCACTCTTATCACTGCGTCTGTGTAGTGGACTGCTATTGCAAGCCCTGTCTCATTGTGAGCTGGACAGGCACTTTTTCTACCAGTTTTTTTTTTTTTTTTTTCCTCCTCCTCCTTTTAAAACTGTTGACAATGTGTTTTATTTAGTTTTAAATCACCTTTTTCATACTGTGCTCATGCATCGTCTGTCTCTGAGAAGAAATGAAGGCTCTGTGTGTTTTTTTTCGGGGTGGCAGTGTGAAAACCCTCCTCTTGTGCTATAAAGCCAATTTGAGACACGAGGTAGGTGTGTAGTTCATCTTCGGGTCCAGAAACCTTTACCTTCTCGTCAACATCCTTTTTTTTTTTGTTACGGAGCATTAACGGTGCTTTTAGTGCAGGCTGATGGTAGAAGCCGTAACATCTGAAATATACCAAAAAAACACAAAAGATTAAAACAGCAGGATTAATTGAGGGGGGCAGGCAAAGCTTTGTGATCGATCTGTGAATACTGGACGACGCTTGAGAGCTTCTGGCAGAATTGTAGTACCAACGATTAGTTTGTTTCTGGATTACAGTCGACAGTAAGAACGGTTAAATGTGTTTTAATCAACCTTTTGAAGTTCTATACAAACATTTGTAGTCGCTGTACAGTTATTACATGCTTCAATTTAGCGAGCTGTTTTATATTTGACCGATGGTGCGCTCCACATTTGTAGCTTTTCATCAGTAATAGTAGCACGGCCTAATTATTTAGTCTTGCTTTGAATTTTAAAGCACCATTTTGCCCCTTTTTTTCTTAAAGTGAGTTTACAGCTGAAAACGGAGCCAACGGTTCAGTTTGTTGGCGAAACAACAAGTTTTCACAATTCATGAAGTTGCACGACGTGTGCGCCTCGACGCACCGATGTTTTACAGTCACATCTGAACATAAAGCTCAGTTTATTTAAGTTTGTTTAATCCAGTTCGAGATAAAACCATATTCTACGTTCCTGCTGCATCACATCCTTTGAGTCATTACCTCTTTGTTCCATCGTAGCCTCGTGTTGTAAACCGAAGCCCTCCGTCCCCGTTGGACTTCTGGCTTTTTGAGACATTCACTCTTTCTCACACCGTTCTAGTTTCACAGGACTTGTCTGAAATGGCAACGTAAACCTCACATCAATGAACAAACTGCTTTTCTTGTTGGGGGAAAAATGGTTGTGCTGAATGTCTTGTGCAATGTGTATATTTTATTCTGTCCAAGTGCCGATATTCTGTATTTCTGGTACCGTCCATGTACTTAAGACACTTTGCATCGGAGACCAGTTAGTTAGTGTTTCCATTTTATCGATGCAGTGTTATAAGAGCTGCTGTGGTAGATGGACAGCAGGATAATACTCCTTTATTATTTCTTTACAGTCAGAGTTTGTTATGGTGGCACTTTAACTTCATATGTTTCCAGAAGGAGCTCTTAATTATAACTTTTTATCTATTTTATACATTTTTGTGAATCCCTCCACGAAGAGGTTTTATGTATTTACATCTTAAATGATCGTGAAGAGGTCAGCATGGTCAGCATTTACCTGAACTAGTAGAGACTTTAGAGTAGTCTTGGCATGCTGGAGGGACCGCAGTAGGTCGGCACTGACTAACAAAAGCATTACCCTCTCTTCCTTTTCCGTATGTAACCTGTGGCACCTGTGGACCTTCATATTGGAACGAACGGTTTCTTCGGATGTGTCTCCTGCTGGTTGTGTTATAAATCTGCTCACGATAAAAAAAACAAACAAAAACAAACAAATCACCTCTTATTGCCACACACTTATATACACTCCCACATGGACATGAACTGTGTGAACATGCACTTGAACACACCTCATACTTTATTCTGCCTCCCTGGCAAATTGACACCCACAGCGCAACGAGCGCTTCGCCCAGGGCGGTCCTAGGGGGATCGGTCCTGGTAACCCCGGGTATGGCAGGGTCCGCGAGGAGTTTGACGGTCCTACTAAGAAACCCCGTTTTTAAACGCTGCTCCTTGATGCTCCCAGCAGCACCATTTTGTATAAATTATCCAAAACAAACATGCATTTTCTTGTATTTAAGTTTAAATTGTTGCTACATTTTAGCCTGACAATTTGCTCCTTTTATGACAAAGTCAATATTTTCATTTTTTTATTTTGTGTTGTCAGTAGTGTGGAAAGAGGAGTCACATTCGTGTGGTCCGTTAGTTCTTTCTGACCCATGTATAATTTTTCTTTTCTAGATGTATTATCCTCTGTGAGTCGCCGTGAAGTGATAATTGTAACATTTTTCTCAACTTTCTATGGCTGTGTTTTTGTGCCATACATTTGGAGTCAAAGCATGTATTATAATAAAGAGACATTGGTTCTATCAGGACAAACCTTTAATATTTATTCCTAAACGTTGAAACGTTCGCTCACAAAGCAACCAACTCCCAACACTTGGTTGTTTGCACTAATGAAATACTCTTAAAGGTCTTAAAGGGTCTATGTGTTATCTCTGCTGCAGTCCTGACTTCTTTGTTCCGCAATGCGTGAAACAAAATCTACAAAACACGAAGCGTGAAGCCGTCTGAAGCCAAAAACGACCTCATTTGACTTCCTGAAACCCGTCACAGCTGCCGTTCTCAAGAGAAGAACAACGTCGGAGTTAAAAATGTACTTTTTTAAAAAAAAAAGAGAAGTAATTAGATTTGAGACACGGCCTGACGTTACGACTGTGCTCTTCAGGTGACTTGTATTTATAATATATAATAAGTTTGGACTCCGCAAGTCGCTGTGCTTTGTGGAACAGTCGTCTCCTTTAAAAACATTAAAACGTGAACTGTTTCAGGCTTTCAGAGAGGTTTCCCTCAGTGCTTTTACAGTCTTGCTTCAGGAGAGCAGAAATACGACACATAGAGCCTTTAAGAGAGCCTGTGGTGTTCAGTGTGTAGTTAGTGTGGATGGCGCTGCGAACACGTTCTGCTCACATACTCAGGCTCTCACTGACACACAGACTGGAGTGTCTTTGTGTGCATGTTTAGGGTTGTTGACTACGTTTACATGCAGTCGATTGTACGTGTTAATAACGATCACTGCACTCGGAGGATCGTAGAAGTCCTAAAAGCTGAACTTCCAATTAATGTTTCCACCTTAAGAGCTGAATTATTTGTTGAGATCTCAAACATTTTAGAGAGAAACAACCCAGCTGCTGCGTTGTTTTGTATTCCCCTCAATGATCTGTTATCAGCCGTCGTTGCTTTCAGTGTGTGGAGGTTGGCCGTGTAGTTTAAAGGCCGATAACCTCGTTCCTCTGAGTGGATTCAGTCACATGTTCTCCGTATCTGTTTTTAGTTACGCAGATGATCCTTTCACAAAGCTGCATGTAAACGTAGTTCAACAGTTTGTGTGTTTTTAAGGAACACAAAAGGAAGTATTTATTGAAGTAAGTTTATCTGAGTACTATAGTTGGACGATCTGTTGGCATGAGTAAATCTGCCTTTGCATGATTGGCAAGGGACGCTCCGTTGGTCTTAAGTAACTTTACGTAAAAAGCATTCTGCTCCGTGTTAAAGGCACGATCACCTCTAGAAACTAAAGCAACTGAAAATATGAATCTTTACACGTTTAAAAACCAACAATAAGTGTGACCAAGTTCTTTTTAAGTTGTTGCTTTGAATATATTTTATTATTTATTTGTTTTTATAGAGCTGTGTGACACTAGTGTGACGTACAAGTCGGCAAACAAAAAGCCAGTGATGGATTTAAAAAGCTGATCTGAATCCTAAACTTGTACTTCACTGACAGCTTTTATTGTAACACAACAAATCCAGAGTTTCAGTTTCAGTTCTGTGCTCTGACCTTCATTCGTAAGATCGCTCTGACTCGTACTGCAGAGGAAGATCTGGTCCGTACCTGCTGCACCTTCTGCTTTTTTTATTACAGACAAAACATTTTAACTGTCTCCAGCTTGTGAATTCACTTTTTGCATCTTGTTGTTCAACAGACGTGTTATTGGTTTAATAATCTAACAGTTTAACTAAATTTAATCTGTTTTGTTGGACAGATTATTTATTTATTTATTTTATATTATTTGGCTGTTTTTTTGTCACACGGCTGAAAGAAGTTTTCTCCGTTTGTAGTTAAACTGGTAACAGACGACTTTTATTCACAACATATCATTGATCAACCCCTTTCTGCATTTCAGGAGACATTTTAATCTGTAGTTGTATTAATTATTATTACTACAAAGACACGAGAGCTCACAAACGGTGGTAAAACATTTTAAACTTAACCTTTTAAAAGGGGAAAAATAAAAACATAATGTTGGGCTTTAATCACCTTTAAATTATAGAACTGCTTCATCTGTGTTTTGAGTTTAGATGAACTATTCTTTTGTTGGATCACAGATTGTAACTAAACTCTGTAAACTAACAAAATGCTCTATAAAGAAACTGTATTACAAGGACTAATATTTTAATAATCACCACATGAAAGAGAATCAGATGCACATTTCCCCCCGCCGCCTCCTCTGGCAGCATTTCTCAGGGTTGTATGTTAGCAGGAGGTGTGCTGTGAAAGTGAGTGTAAGTATTCTTGCTTTAATTCAACTTGTATAACAAGTATAATGTTCCTGCGTTCTTGTTTTTGGAAATGGAGAACAAGCTGGCACTCTGTTCACGTTCACTGGCGCTATCTTGAACATTGAAGGTATATTTCACATTACGAGTAGTTAACACGAGTCTTTTAACAACAGTGCAGCTTTGGAGACGACTTTTATAAGCTTACATGTTCCAGATGAGTCAGAACAATGATTATCTTCCTGCCTGATCTTACAGTCACTTGTATTAGTGCTCTCTTTTGTAGACCGTGTCTGTCCACTGGGACAACATTCGGACCTGTAACTGGATGTCTACAAAGCATCCTACAGTAGTTCTTTTAATTTGTTAAATAGCCAAAAGTCTGCCAAAACGTCAGAGTGTGTAACCTTTTTGTAGCTTTGCTCTTGTGCTCAGTATGACGATGCACCCTGCACTGAAAATAAGAATTTGTCCTTTTGGTTATAAAAAAAAAAGTATCCCAAGAAAATCTTCCCTCTTCGTGTGGCATCTGGGGAACTGAAATCGCTGCAAAACCGAGGACGACAGAATATTTGGATGAACTCGGTAATGGCGTTGGATTTCCTGGAGTGTTCATCTGCAATGTTACGTGTGTTTGTGTTTTTGTAAATCTTTTCTTTGACAGGTTTGACCAGCTTTAAAAGATTGACTGTGGAGGAATTTGTGGCTGTGTAGCGAGGACTCAGGAATGTTTTAGCAAAGAAACCCTAAAACCCTAAAACCCCGGACGTTTGCAAACAACGTTAGTAAGATTTCACATCACATAAAGGATTAAAACAAGGACGCTGACTGTAGACGACACACTCGGTGTCGTAGAGACTGATAGCCTCGTCATTCCTCGTACATGAAACAGTTTCTAACCCTGTAAATAAAACTGTGGGTAAAACCAAACATAACTAACTTTTAATGTTTAAACTTTAATGTATCTTTCAAAACCTTTTCAGATAATTTGGTGTTAAACAAATGCAGATCCCTAACTTTAAAGTGTCACTTCAGATGTGAACTGTAGGTACGTTTTACTGAAAGTGATGATCGGTATTCTGCTGTCATTCATTTGACAACTCGCTGGAGACCTTCTGTAGTTCTGTAACCCTTCTGATCTTCTGTTGTGGGAACGGAAGAGCTCTTTTTGTAGTCCACGAACACCAGATAGGTTGGTTAAATCATAAATGTATCAGAGCTCCAGTTCAGTCTGGAACCAGTTTACAACCGTTGTTTGTAGATCAATGCTGGTGTGTTTGTTGTTTTTCAGATCGCAGCCTAAAACTCTAATATTCATGCAACATTAGACCAGCTTTTAGCTGCTGGTTATTTACTTGGTAAGATCTTGAATCTAACTGAACTCATAGTTTATAATAAAAGCAGTAAAAAAATATACATAAGCTTAAACTTTATAAGTTTTTGATGCTTTATTTCTCATATTTTTTATCTCTTTATCAAGAGAATTTAGCACAATAACAACAAACCTTTGGGTTCGCTGACGTAGGGCTTTGTTGTAAATAGACGGTTCAGTGTCTGACTGCAGTGAACAGATTAACTGGATTAAAACGGGACCTGGAAGAGATTTTGTTTAAATAGCGACTGGGGGGGGAAAAACTAGCGGGAGAAAAGGCAAAATTCAAAAAGCCGGCAATACTTTAGAGTCAGTCAGACAATTAGATTTTATTTTAAAAAAAAAGCTAACAAATCTTAAAATAACTAATAAATGTCATTTTGTTTACAGGAAGTTTGTTAAATATGAATATAGTGGTGAAGTGTTTATTTAGCACTTTGGTAGTCAAACAGTATTGGAGTCGTTTTCCACACAGCAGCTGAACATCCTGCGAAATAGTACAGATTCTCTTTGACTTGACTCAAGTGTAAACTTTAAAACTTGTAATGTTATGTCTGTGTGTTGGTGTTGTGTACAATTTGTTTTTCTTTAACAGGTTTGACCATCTTTAAAGGTGTTGGACTATGAGAAGGAACTTTCCAAACCAAGAAATTCAAAGTCTGTAGCTTCTGTTGGTTTTGTTAATGAAAAGCTGTCACTCTCTCTCGAGGACCGAATAGCACCTGTTTTTGGACAGATTGATCTTATTGATCATGATAGATTGGTGGCTCTATAGCTCTGACTGTTGTTCAGGTGGAAGATACTTCTTCCAAGTACACAAGATTTAACTGACTGTGCCAAGAAACACTAAACCGCACTTTTACAGCACATTTTGACTTTGCGTTATTGGAGTAAAATGGAAATCAAAGCCTTGACACGGACACAAGAGTAAGTTCATAGTCAAGATTTGTTAAAGGGAGGCACCAAGCACATCTGACAGACCTACGCAGTAGCTGTGTGATAAATGTTTGAACCAGGGACGTTTCCTACGGCTAAGTAAAAAGATTTAATCAAACTCTTTGACGCTGGTTTTCTTAAAAAGATGTTTTTTGTCAGGATTTATTTACAGGTGGCACCAAACACACAACAGTCTATTAATCAACTGTATCGGACGTTAAGAACATGGATTTGGATCGCAGCACATTTTTAATCTGTTATTGGAGTAAAACTACAAATCCAAAAAGCCTCTTAATTTTGTCGGCATTTGAACAAGAAACAGTAACTATATGAGACGTCCCTTTATTACTGACGGCATCAGTGGAGTAAAAACAGAAGCTCGTATCAAAGCTTTTAACACACATTCATAGTCAAGAGGCTGTAAAGTTACTATATAACAGGGGCGTCGCCTTTTGCAGCACATTTTTTGTTACTTGAGTAAAAGCTGAAACCAAGTTTACATTCTTAATGAGAAGTTTTGATTTGTTTAAGGCCTCCTGGCTTTTAAACCCCCCCCTCCTCCTCCTCCTGCACCTCGACCCATATCTGTTCTCTCTTTGTGAAAAACCCCTCACCCCTAAAAGATACTGCACTAGTAGACCTGACCCACCTCCTATACACCAACCTACCTGAGGCAGGAAGTCCCATGCACCTTGCGGTTGAAGAGAGGATGGCGTGTTGTGCCTGTGTGGTTGTGTGTATGTTTTCATGTCTTTGGGTAAATGAGAGGTGCGTTAGCTGCTGTCAGCCAGCTTGTCAAAGACAGGCTGCCCCAGTCCACAGTAGAGGCTCTTCTCTGCAGTTGGGTTACATTGACGATGAGTAGTTCTGCAGAAGTCAGTGGACAGTAAAGCCTGGACTTGTTTGCACTGCAGCCAGAGGTATGCTTACACAGATCAGCTGAACAAGTAAGGTAAGTGTCCCATCCATGTTTATAATACAAGATGCACAGTTGTCCCATAACTTGACTCTTCTCTCTGTCCTCTCTTCACACCTCGTCACGGCTCACAGTGACGTCTACAGGGCTTCTGGCATCACACTTACAAAGAATGGCATCACAGTGCAGATCTCTGTTCTTCAACCTTTTTTGTGTGTGGATGTGGCGAAGCATTACAGCCCCGTGCAGTGTGTGTGTGTGTGTGTGTGTGTGGTTGTAGTACTTTTTGGCTTCTCTGTATGTATGCATGAAAGGAACTACGTATGGACGGCTGAGTCACTGGTTCAACGCTACAGTTTCTAACCACGGATGTGTGGAGCAAAGTGCTGAAGCTTTTTGGGGAAACACTGAAGGTCAAGAGAAGGTATCCCGTCTTTAGTTTCTGGCAAATGTTAAACTTAAAGCTTTTAACTCTTGTACAACTGTACACGGTGTTTTTTGTTTGTAAACCGTATTTAAAAGGTAATTAGCATTTAAAACAGGCAGGTTTTGTGCAACAATGAACAGAAAACTATCCACGCCCAACTCGTGGGATGGCGTCTTCCATTGTAACGCTTTAAAGGAGTTTTTTGACTAGTTTTGTCTTTGTGCTTTGTCTCTTTTAAACCCGTAACAGCTTTCGTTTGGTGCCTTTTTTCTTTTTTAAATGTATTGGATAAAATCCTAATGTTGGGTAGTTTGTTGCCCTTCCAGAAACAATAGCACATCTAGCAAATAGTTAATCTGTTTCTCATGGTTTTAAAGTCCAGTCGTCCCAGTGTGGATCACTGAAACATGGTAAATGATTAAAATCAAACTATTTACCGTAATTTCCCGACTATAAGCCGCTACTTTCTTCACACGCTTTGAAACAATGATGCCCGCGTTAACTCTACTAGATTTTTACGGTGGTGGTCACGGGGCGCTCTGGGCCTGAGACGCGACAGGGGTTGGAAGAATAATGGAAGAATTTACGCTAGTTTGTGTTTTGAATTCACTTTCAGTTTGGAATTCATTCATTCATTTTTAGCGCAGTTCATCCTGGAAAAACACAAAGAAAAGCACATCGGATGCTTTTAATACTAAAGGTAATCGATCTGTCTGTCGAAGGAAGGAAATAGACGGGCTGCTGGCACGTAAGTTTGGCGGCATCAATGAATCGATGGTGAGACGGCAGCATTTATTTAATTAAACATTTAAAAAAATCTTTGTGTAAATATCTCTCGTACAAATGTTTTTTTCTTTTTAAATTTAGTTGGTGCGACTTATGTTCAGATTCGCTCAATAGTCCGGAAATTACGGTAATCGTTTTTTTATCACTTTGAGTTAAG